CCCACCTGTTTCTTTTTAAGTCTTTATGTGTAGAACAACTTCCCAAAAATTTTGTTGTTTCTCTTTGTAAATAGCTTACAGACTCTGAGAGCAACAGAACAGTGACTTATTGTCTAGAAAGACAAGGAATACTAGCATCTGTTCATTTAAGACTGCTACAACCCCTGTGCAACATGAAGAACTGCCACAGAAACATAGTCATTTAACAAAATATTCACCATCACATTGGGCAGCAATTAGATTATGTGACATGTTATGCCAGAGGATTGTACTGTTCTAACATAATGGGCAGCCATCCAGGAGACAAGAAACTATCTGGTGAACAACAGAATAGGTTTGAATAAGCAGTCCAGGAGCAATAGAGTACCCGTAAAACTGATATACCATTTCCAACTTTATACTTGGTATAGTAATTAAGTTTTTTCCAATGGCGGAAGCTAACCAATTAGAACTAAAAAGTTCTAATGATGATGACCAGAGAGCAAAACAGTTGTCTGGAATAGTGGCTGAATCGGGAAAGCAAAGACACTTTTACACAAGCAAAACTAGAAAGAGGAAATATTACTAGCTGAAAAGAAAGGAGCATGTTAGGTTCTGGATTCTGCAGACTGCTAAATCCATGGGACTTCTGCATGGAACACTGTGAGGCAGATACAGACTTTAAAAAGCAAAATTCTTTCTAAATAAACAAAGAATTATTTTAAGAGGATGCCCTGGAGAGCAAAGGAGAGTTCATGAACTTTACTTCCTCTCTGAGAAAAGCCTGCAGAGTTAACTACTGCCAGACTCAGGTAGAACACTAACCAAAGGCTAGCCTTTGAGCTGGAAAACAAATTAAAGGAAACCATCTTCAGAAAGGCTTATGATAAGCAGTACTGACCTGGAAAGGAGACACCTGATGCTAACAGGAGTCTTCTTACCCAAATGTGCTGAAGATAGTTCTTTTGAACTTTTATATATTTATATACCAAAGCCAGTTGTTGATACTACATTCATTTGCTTGTTTTAAAAGCATACCATCATTGACAGAATGTAAAATCACTAAGCTTTATCCTGGGCAGCCTCACCTCATAGAGAGGTATCAGCAATTTTTCAGATGATACCTTCCATGTAAAGGTTGCTATTTCTATCTTTTATAGTCATGGCAAGACAGTGTATTTCTTCTGGCTCACTCCAGCTTGCAATATGCTTAGCATAGCTAGCTTCTTTTATAAAGGCTTCCTCTGTCATTGCTTGACAGTACGTTTAAGTGTTCAAATTCAGTCAGTCACTCACAGACTGTAATGTAGTGGATTTGTTGCTGTATGTCACCTTTCAAGAAGTCATCTTCCTAAGTTCATTTTGTGCCTTTTGGATATCCAGCTCTTCAACAGCTTATTCCAAACCACTGCATCTCTTGCTGTACTCAGTGCTTACATTTCACATCCCTCCACCCTGAGCACCACATCAACCTCTGAAATGTGTAGTAAATGTTTAAACATATGAACAAGGGGCACTTTCAGGCATATTTGAGTCAGTATTATGAAATTCATGCCAAAGGATGTTGTGTGTTAGCTGAGCAATACAGCATATTTTTCCAACTGTTTCAGCCAACAGTCAACTACATGAACTATCCTGAAGAAATATTTCCTAAAGTTTGTAATGGAAGTATTTAATATAAAACCAAGAAAGCAGGAACTTATTCACTTTAATTACATACAGAGACAAGGGAAACGGTATGAGATAGCTGTAGTTTGGGTCAGCTAAGTCCTTAATTTTTTACATCTTATGCTTTTTTTTATTTAAGACATACATCTAGGTAATGTTTCTGGACTTTATTTCTGACATCTACAGAGCCCTAAGGTCACTTAATGCAGCTTTCATCATCATTTCTTGATACATGCCATCAAACTGCGCTTCCAGAAAGATGTTATTAGAAAGGGAGCCCCCAGGCACCACATTACACAGTTGCCTGGTTCACAGAAATGTGAACTGGGAAAAATAATCAACCACTTTTAAATACAGCTTTAAAATCATGCAGTTGAACTTGCTTACACTATTTACATTAAACATCTTGTAATCCATTCCATATAGTAGTAAAATTAGCATTTTTCTATAAGGCGGTTGTTGAAGGTTAAGTGTCCTCCTTTCAGTTCTGGCTCACCTGTGGAAATTTTACCCTTTAGTTGCGGGGGCGGGGAAAAACTTCACTGCAGGTACTTGGTGGGTACTTGAGAAACACAGAGTTCTTCGGCTGGGCCCAAAGGGGAAGGGGGCAGGAAAAGGCGGAGGGCGGGGACAGTTTGGCAGGCTTCTTCAGCTTCAGAGAAGGACACTTTGGGGCGCAGAGCTGTTGCTGAGAAGGGAATTCACCATCACCCAGACGGAGATGCTGCTTCGTCTCCTTCTTCCCTCTGTTGGTGGGTCCCTCGCACCCCCTGTCCTGCCGGGACGTGTGGCAGTGCCAGCCACCACTGAGGAGCTGCTGGCTGATCCTCAGCCACCGGCCCAGGATCTCAGCTCATCCCTGCTGTTCCAGCTGACTGTTCTTCAGAGCCCTGCAGGAGCACCAGGACTGCCTGCCCGAGGGGGTTTGTGAAGCAAAACCTCTCCTCCATCCCTTCCCGTCTCAGCTGAGAAAGCTGTCACGGGGTCCCTGGTTCTGTTCTGTTGTTAACGCTGTAGTTATTGTTGTTTGTTTGCCTTGTTATATACACTAGTAAAGAACTGTTATTCCTATCCCCAGATCTCTGCCTGAGAACCCTTGATTTCAAAATTATAGTAATTCAGAGGGAGGGGGGTCTACATTTTCATTCCAGGGGAGGCTCCTGCCCTCCCTAGCAGACACCTGTCTTCTAAAACCAAGACAGCAGTAGCAACTGAAGATACACGATAGCACCAGGTCTTCGCCCCTTCAAAGAGGTTTTACAAAGCAGTTAAAACCCTTCTAGCATAAACTGCACTAGAAAGCTTAAAATGGTTTCAAATTTGGTACAAACTGTAAATGTACTCTGTTATTCTTGCTTTTCCCCTCCTTATTGGATTTCTATTCCTTTTTTCAGAAACACTTGTTTAATTCCGTTTCTTTTTAAGCTTTTTATTTTTTTTTCCTTGCCTTGCAACTCTGACATTCTTTCTCCATTCCCTCATTCATGAGTTATTTGCTGGCTGGTTAAGAGAAAGACCCACATGGAGACAGGACACACAGCACAGGGAAGAAGCTAGCCTCTACTCATCCATCCATGTGTACCTGTGAATGAGGCTCACTGGCAGCCTTATTATATACCCCTGTGCATGCATGGAGCAAAGAGAAGCCCTTCCAAGGGCACACATTTTAGCAAGGCTGTGTCTAGGAACAAGCATGAACCTGGGCCTTCACTACCAATACCAATTGTTTCTATCAAAAACAACCTATTCTTGGCAAAGGTCTTTGTGCACACCAAAATTCACACTCACAGAAGTGTAAGCAATAGTATTCTTTTCAGCTTTGGGGAAATCAGATTACCAGACAGCACAAAGGAACCCACCCAGCAGCCCTCCAAGCTACTTTGCATACAATGTTTGCTAAGTTTTGTCCTCTCCTGAAACATAAATAATCAGTAACTGCTGGGGGAAAGATCCAGGACACGATGGACCAGTTGGGTCAATCGGACAAGGCAAACACTCTTCTTCTGACATGAACAACCTCTTCCTCTGTCTTATGTATCTTTAGTTGTTTTTGTAGTCTTCAACAAACATCTGACCTCTGACAATGTGTACAATGTGACCTTTGACTGTATAAGGGTTTTTTATTATGTTTATTACTTTAAAACCTTAAAATACAATTCAGCAGCCATTGGGCTATTTCCTGCTTTAGTCATACCTATGTTCATACTCTGAAGAGATGTTGGCATCATTTTAAGAGCATTTCCATTACTTATTTCCACTTCATTCTCAAAGATGTGCATTGACAGTCTTAGCTCCTCACATACACAAAGTAACTAACCTCAAAAACACAGGCAGCAAACCTTTTTTAAATGGCAACATGCAGCTTGCAATAAAAACATTATATGCTGATACAGCACCATAATTCTGAAGGGTCCTAAAGCATTCAAGCTCACAGTCAGACAGTCTCACTCTTCCTTTGACCTTCCTTTGCTCTGTTTAGACAATATTCCGCTCAGCCTCTGGACTAAACCTGTGGAGGTTGCTCCCTCTCGCTCCTGAGAACACAGGCTATCTAAAGACAATGATGCACAGGTTTGGAACACCATTTACGTACAGGCAGTTCCAAACGAAAGTAGGTTCTTCACCAATGCAGTAGGATTTTCTGCAGTTTGGCGGAGAAACTCAGCTAGTATGAAATCACCAGACAATATTACAGTAGCTTTAATTTCTGCACAGAACAGACAAATTCATTGTTTTGAAAGGTCATGACAGTAAATTGCATGGAATTCAATTTACCTCCCTCAGATGGATGAAGGTCTGAGTCAAACATAGAACAGGGGAAGCCTTTGGCTCCAAGAAGTCTGTGCTGATTCAACCTACTCCTAAGCAGATAAATCATCCTTCCTCTCAGCTATACATTATCACAGCTTGTGATTTTCAAATGATCTTTTTCCACAGCTGTCATACTGCAGCAAATTGTGTCATAGATGAGCATCAAAACAATGGTCAATGCAAGAAAAAGTTGGTTTTAAGCAGGAAGTTACCAAATACAAAATTATTTGTGATACAGACACTGTCACAGTTGTATCATGCTCATTTCTCCGCATCTAAAGTGAAATACAAAAAACTACAGGGAGATGTACAGGAAACAACACCATCAGCATAATACAGAAAAACAAATACTGGAAAAGAAAGCAAGCATAACGGTTACAGAAAGACTGTGAAGACAGTAAAAGAATACCCTCTCCAGGAGGAGAGTGACACATCTGCAACGCATACGATTTAACAGGTTCCCCTGTGTATAACTGCAAACAACAAAGCTAGCGAGCATTTCATTCCTGACTGGATGTATGGCACCAGGCAACGACTCTTACCTAAAGCTTTCTGGGTATTCAGCAACAGCCATGTTGATAACATCCAATGCATGCTGATAGTGCTTCTGCGCTGAAAAGAGGAGGGCCAGTAGATGAAGTGAATTCATGTCATCTTTGCACAGTTGCAGGGCTTCTTGAAGATGGTCTATAGCATCAGAAATCTAGGAGGAGGTGGGGTGGAAATAAGATAACACATCACTTTTTCAGTCCTACATTATACCCCAAAAATGGAGTGAGCAAATGGACTAATTAGAGATTCTGAAGAAGTTCTACTTAGGCACCTTATACTATCAAAACAGGCTGCCAAAATTAACAGACTGCACCGCTTGAAAAAAACCACACAGTCTAGAGAAAAAAGTCTGCAGCATTACTAAATCACTGCTTATAAACAAGAGCAACAGACCTAATCCAATCAATCCCCTCATCCTTTAGCATGGTGATTCTATGCTGTAAACAGATCCACAGAGGCCCAACTCTCAGCTCCATTTTCCAGGATGGGTGGCTGGCTCTTCACCTGGGGGTGAGCATGACATATCTCTGCTGTGTTTTCTCTCTCATAATGGCTGTACAAAGCCTTTCATGATTTGGATCAATAACATACCCTTGAATGTTCATGGGTAAAAGAGTCAGGATTTAAAATGCTGTCAGAAAAAGAAATGTATTTGCAAGCAGTGATATGAAGAGCAGTCCTGACAGTCACAGCAGCAGCAGCATGTTATTAGAACCAAGTCTCACTTGGCAGAAAACAACTATAATGAATGCAAGTATATCACATGCTCTTTGTGATCCAGTACATTATTTCATGCTATCTGTTCAAAAGGCAACTTCTTAGCAGATTTTCATTTGTTTGTTTACCAGTAAGCTTTATGGAGAGGATTTTCTTTAAGATTCTCTAGTGTCTGAAATTACTGTTATGCAAATTATTTCATTTCTGTGTCTCTGAAAATATGCAAAAAACAAAGCATGAAAGTGTATAAATTTATTTTCCTCATGTATGCTTTCCTGCTCCTTCTCTTAATAGATGGAGAATGTACTTCTTTCTTTCCCATTATGAGAGCTTCCCCCCTAGCAAAGCTTTACAGACAACTACCCTGGCATACCACCAGTGTCAAATTCCCACCACCTCCACAGACCTCTCACAAAAACAAGTAGCACATAACTAAGGAAAGAAACAATTACACTGCCTGCAGCTACAACAGAGGTTACTGATTATCTAGATCCCAGGTATCCTTCTAGGAGCAGGGAATATTTTGTTCATAGGACAACTCTATCCTAATGTCCAAGTGACATTTCTCTCTTGCTGTGCACACACGAGCCATGGTAATTAACTACTCTATTACACTGGTGACTCCATGCAAGCCTGGAGATCAGTGTGACTTCTCCAGACATAAGTCCAAACTGGCATCCGGCCCACACCGTCAAAACTGCTGAATGTCCTGGCTTGGATTCAGGCTGGGATATATGACTGAGTGCTCAGCTTTAGTGAATTACTGCTTGTCAGTGGAGCTACTTTAACCACATGTGTTATTAAAGCCCATTGCAAAGGTAAACAGGTTGGCTTAAATCACCCATGCTCCCTCAGCAGTTTACTAGAACACATTTTCATACAATGTAAAAATTCTAGCAATGATAAGACAACTTGGAGCCAGGACAAGACAGTGATCAGCCCATATGTGCCTGTCCACACAGCTTATTATTAGATATACCAGAAGTATATAAATTTGACTTGCTAAAACAAATTGCTGTCAAGACTTCTTGCACTCCGGACTAAAAATCCCTTCTATTTCTTTCTATTTCTCTGTCCCAGAGCAGCACAAGTACTCATAAAGAAAATACAAGTTTGGGGAAAAGTCCATTAGAAGAAAAAGAAAACATGTAAACCTAACAGTTGGAGGAGACTTGGAACAACTTGTTACAGATGATCCTGTTTTGAGCAGGGATTGAACTGGGTCATCTCTAAAGGTCCTCTTCAAACTATTCTATGATTAAGACTAGGGTAGGGAATCCTAATTTACTAGTATGAATCAGACAAAGAATAACACTTGCAAGTAATGCCTTTACTGAGGGACTTCAAAATTTCAGGAGTACCTGACCTTACTTGCGTGTGAATGTGCAAACTAAGACTTTGCTTTATGTGTTGAAAGCGACTCAGCATCAAAATGCAGGTAGGTCCATACACCTAAGAGAGCCTGGTGATCCAAGAAGCTCTCTGACTGTTGCAACACACATGAAATAGAGCAGCAAAAAAGTAAGTTCTGGTCACTCCTGCAAACCTTTGCCTGCTGGACATGCAGCCACATAATGCAGAAAGAGATGTCATCTAAAGTAGTTTTGTTCTGTAGCATGAGCCTGCAATGGTTTCACCTCATTTCAGCACTTCCCTCTAGTACCATCAGAGTCACAGGCAATGGCTGGTTTTGAAAATTAATAATGCTTCCCTGGCATCTAACTCGAGTCCAAAAAGCTCCTTAGTGCTGTAACACCATTAGTAGCCTACACAGTACTGCTGCATAATTAGAAACAGTGGACAAAAATAATATGAACTCTATGCCTTTAAAAAAGCATTTTGTGAAACAACCTGCAATCGACCAGATGCAATGAAATACAAACTAAATTTTCATATCAACAGAAGTAAAATACTTGGCAGCAGTCGACACAAACTTCTTTTGAAAGATGTATTTTTATTTAAGTAACTATATAAGCTGAGAAAGATGGAAGCTGGCACCCAAGATGGCATCCTGAAACATCAGGGCTTTACCAGAGGCAGGCTGCTATTTAAAAGTACTTTAAATTTAAAATTTAAATTTTAAATTTTTGCATTTTAAATGCAGTACAAGTACTGCATTTAAAATAATCTCATTTCAGGTGGACTGAAAGTCTAAGTAGGGCTTGCAATTTGAAAAAGTTATAGTTCCCCGACTTACCATTCTGTTAACAAATATACCTATGTTTTGCATGGCACACAGGTATCTTCACATTACACTGATTAGGAAGCAAAGATGCTGCAGTAGGCCAGAAATAGCATCTTGCCATCTTGCAGCATTACCAAAATAATGCCACAATGTGGATTGTTTAGGCTGCCTCTTATATAGTAGGATTTATTTCAATAATGCTATATGTCTCCTAGAAAACAATTATAGTATGTCACAATTATAGGTATAAAAAGGGGAAACAGAATGAGTGTTAAAAATACTTCCTAACAGTAGAATGAACTTGGATAGTTAAAATGGTAAATGAAGCAGGAGCTCTTAAAGGAATTTTCAGGCCTAATAATTTCTTATCAGTTGACAGTTACACTTAATTCATCATTAAAACTACCCACTCCACCTCTTTTTATAGCATGGAAAGGAGTAAGCTTTACTGACTGGCAAGTGCTTCCATTGAAAACAACTTGCTACAGTCCACCAGAACCTCGGGAAAGCAGGGGTAGATACTTCTATGGGTTATTACTTAGTTCTTAGCCATTCTTGATCACCAGAGCAATCTAGGCTAGGATGTAGGCAGAAAAGGAGTATGTTGTTGTTCAGCAGAGGAGGTAGTTGCTGGTCTGGGAAAAAGACAGACCAGAACTACCTACATTCAAGCAGCCACTGAAAGAAGTACTTCTTGAATACCTCCTTAAATAGAGCTCCTCTTCTGGGGCAGAGACAGCAGTCTTTCCTTCTTGAAACTAAAACAAAAACTGGGCAAAACAGGTGAAATATTTTTTCTGGTCGCTTAACTGATGTTTATCTTAGCGGTACACCCAGACACTTGGGAAGGAAGTAGGTGTTTTCTGGATAGTGCCACTTGAAACTTGAGGTCTGTTCGAAATCCACAGGAAATTGGTGAGACTTACAGTGCTCAGCTGCTGACCCTTAGCCATCTTTCTTTTCTCATTTTCATGAAAAGAAAGGTTAGATTTAATCAGGTATTAAAATGGCACGAAGACTATGTATGTTTTGACATATCCAATACTACATGGCAGTCAAGGTCACAACCACCACCACTCCCCAAAAAACCAGAATCAACACTTAAAATTAACAAGACTGCTGCTGATACTACAGAGTCATTTCCATAGAAACTGGTCTGCTAAAAAACAAGGCAATGAATTAAAATCAGTGAGCTTTAAAATGTGCATTCTACCTTGTTTTTGCTGATCCAAGTGCTGTTACCACAGAAACAGGAAAAGTAGCCGAACCAGCCACCGAGAGTTGGGAGCTACAAGTCTCATTTGTCTCTTGGCTTGGCCAGCTGCCAGCCAGGCACTGCAGGTGGAGGTACCCACTGCAGCAGGTATGGACCTTGTTCTCCTGGCACTTCAGCTCAGGGGGAAAACCAGACTGAGAGACCCTCCTCACAGAACAGGTTATTCTACACTGTTTGGCTGAAAAATCCACTAAAACACTCTGGGGCTGATGTAGACCCTCCAAGTCTTCCCAGTGGCTTCAGTGGTCTTTAAGACACAGGTGCACACACACAAAGCTCATCATCATAATTTTTTATCTTGGTTGCTGGTGGTTTCAAATGCCAATGCTGCATGAACCTTTTATAACCATTTCTCCTCTTGTCACATCCTCATCTCATGTCAGAGGGATGCTTATGTTTTTCCATTTCCTCTTTGCCTTGCCCTGTAGTGACAGAGACAAGTGCTATTGGAAATATTTTACAGCCTTGCAAGGAAGATTAATTGCTCCAGCTTTGCTTGGCACTCTACTGGTTAGTTGTCTCTCTTGCTTTGTTCCATGAAAACACTCTTATCTATGTAAGCTGATACCCGTGTTTTTCAATGCTGGGTACAGTTACATCTTTTATTGACTCTGACTATGGAAACAAAAAGGCTTGCTTGTTGAGAAAAACATTCAGGTATTATATTATAACCTACTATGTAGAAAAGGCCTCATTTATTTGTATTATAGCATTGCCTGAAGAAAGCCCTAACTGTGATGTTCAATAGTTAATGCAATCTATCAAAAAAGATATCATTTATCTTTCAATTAATCAGAAAGATAACATATTAGATACTTTAAATAATTAAGGATATTAAAAATGCATTACAAAATGTTTATAATTAAGTAAACTGGCAAAAGAAGAGGAGGCTATTTTACATCAGTCTAAAAATAAAGATGTCTCAGGTATCTCCTCTCTGTCCAAGCATGTGTTAAAGATTTATATCTCACTTGATTGGAGAAGAGCATGAGCACCATCACAGGGGTCAGGCTGACACTACATAATACACTGAGATCATACAGCTGTGGGGGCAGAGGAGACTGGCACAACACCAAGGATGAAAACATACAGGTGAACTAGACAAAGAGGAGAGTGAACACAGGGACAAAAGATTGAATGGGAAGAACAGGAGAGAAGGGAAATGATGCAACAAGAAAGATGAAACAACACTGCAAAGACAGGCTACAAACAGAGAAAAAGAAAGGGTAATGACTTAAAATGCCAGTAACAGTGAAAACAACAAAAAACCAATGACCACAAAAACATTTTATTTTATTTTTCCGGATAGCAGCTGAAAAGCTTTAGTGCTTTTACTAATGGCAAACAGAAGAGGCAGCAGATAGACAATCTCCCTATGAGGAAAAAGCTGAGAGAGAAAAAAGGGTAGCTGGGTGCTTTTTAATGAAAGACCCTGAGCAAACCACATCATAAAGCAGCCAGTAGGCAGATGAGAAAGTTAAATAAGCCATTTTAATTATCATTTCCTATTGCAGGCTCACAGCACAGTGCTCTCATTATGAAAGGGCTACAAAAGTGACATTATCAAGAGGGTGCTCTCTTGGAACAATTAGTTTAACCTAATGAACCCACAGATCCACTTACTAGCTCAGGAAAGCAAGAAATACACAACCATTCAACTCCATTTTGTAGACTAAGGAGAGAAAACTGCAGCAAGAAGAAGGCCTGCCAAAGAAAGAAACTACAATGATGAAATTTCAAATCTAGTTGGAGAGGTATTAAAAACCAAAGCTGCTCCAATAAGGACTTCAGCTTTTAAACAGAAAGGAGAAAGAAATAAAACACGCCAATTTTAAGAAAAAGGGGCAGAAAAATAAAGCACAGCCTAAGTGATTGGTTTTTTTTCCTGAAAGGCAGCACAGAGTATTTGCTGATCAGCTTCATTTTTATGAGTTAACACCTGCAGCAGCGTTCAAATGCCAACTAATCCCACTCACTGCAGAGCTCCAGCACACATCAAAGACTAACGTCAAATGTGTTCAAGTATCAAATAAAGCAATCCCAGCATGGGGAGCACACAATCTGGCATGATATGGAATCAGGCAGTAACGGGAGAGCCTCTGGAGCAGTCTACAGTGGGACACAGTGTGATACCTACGGAACAGGAATAAACACCTTGCTCATCCCACATATACAAGGCTGCTCCAAGACTGCTCAGGAGTTAGAGCAGAACACATTCCCTAGGGAAGGTCATTCCACATGCTACAGAATTATTATTTTTAGAATAAGAATTAAAAAATATTTTACATAAATGTATTCTGACTGCTTGTTACTGGTTACAATGCAGGAAGGAAAGGACCCTGTTTAGCAAGCCTGGGTCTTGCTCAATTGGACTGTCCTTCCACCCTCCCGTGACTCAGTGATTTCCAAATATTTCACGTACCTGTCTGACAAGAGCCAGCTGCAGTGACAGGTAAAGAATGATTTGGTGATCTTCGGGGGCCAGGTCACGTGCTCTTTAAGGACAACCACACAATAAAAAAAGAAAAGCGACTGTTAGATGGCGCTTTGCAGAGCAAAATAAGCACAGAACAAAACACAGTCTTTCCCCACAGAAAACTAGTCCAGTAATGGAGAAGCACACAAATTAGATAAAAAGCAGAACAGTGCTGGCCTGGCTAAGCCAGAATCCCAGGAAAAAGTATGAGAAACACAGCTGCCAGGGTGTTATACAAGTTACATGATCTTTTTTAAAATGCCACTTAACATTTTGGAACTTGGATAACTAATACAGAAAAGGTAGCTCTGAGCTCATAAACAAAGCATTATTTTAAGTTATTAGGTGATGGTCATAGTTGTCTAACTTGTTCCTGTACTGCCACTTTTAAAACATTAAAAGAGGGCTAGGTTAGCACTGAAAAAGTCACTGTGAGCATGTAGAGGACTAAAGATCAGAAGCCTGTGACACAAGCTGATGCTCAAACACATAAAACATTCTCCACCCTGCAGCTTCTAGTTTAATTTTTGACAGTAGACTCCTATTTTGGAAAGGGAAGACACAGAGGGAGGAACTATTTGATGACAGGAACCAGTGGATTCTCTCTCCTTGTGACTCACAGAGCTCACTCATAGCTCTGCAGCACAGGGAAGTTATTTCACATGGGAGAAATGGGGAAGAGGAAGTTCCCTCATAGCCAATTAACATTCCTGACCTCTTTCTGGGCTTCGTTCCAGGACACCAGGAAAACTTGCACCTCCATTGCCAGCCCTCAAGTGAGCACAATTAATGTCCTTATGAGGGAGAAAGGACAGGCTAACAACACTGGTGGTTAAAAAACCCATGCCAGAACTATTGATTTGCTCATAATAAACAAGTAACAATAAAATAATTCCTTCAGGTCAAACCATGGCTTGAGACATCATACATGTTCTTCAAAAAGAGGTGAAAAAACAAGGAAGGTAAAAAAAGGAAAGAAACCAAACTTAAGCATTTAGAAAAACACTAGTAATCAGCTCACTATCACATTCCTGTTGGCTGAAGTTTGAGTAACTACTGTTTGGCAGGAAGCTTGTCTGCCTCCTAGATAGAGTTAAGATACATGAAAACAAGTCACAGCCAATGGGAAAGGTTAAAGGATAAAAAAACCTGAAAGTTCAAAAGCAGTGCAGTACCACAATTCCTTAAAATTGGTCAGAAGTTAATGTATGACAATGGACTCCACAAACTAGTGTGACTTAAAAGTTAAAATACACTCCTGATCCAAATATTTAATCAATATAAATGGCTTTTAAATTTTTTCTCTCTCAGACCTCCGTAAGGCAAATATCCAGAATTGTATCTGTGGTTTCAGTTCTTGCACTCACTACAAAACCAGTGTAAGACAAACATGTTGGGCTCCTTCTTGGTCAGCATCAGCAAAACATTTAAGATCCTTTAACGTTGTTCAAATTGCTAAACTTGTACTATGAGATACCAAAGATCTCAAGTTTTCTTCACTTATGTAATTATGACCACAACAAACTTAGATACTTCAGCCCAAGACTTAGAATGTCACAGTATTGTCACAGTACAGCTGGTCTGGACTGGACAAAGTAAATCTGACCATAACACAAATCTAATTCAGTAGCCTAGTTCATGTCTGAACATGCCCCTGGATAAGCCATAGGGGACCTTCGGCCAGACCCATTCAAGATGAGAAGCAAGCACATCACTGGCCAGGAAGCTGAGCAGGGAGAGAAATATCAGCCAATGGCTGTCTAGCCCAGAAAATTTGAATTGGGTATTTAAGTGAGTTCTGAATAATAAATGAGGCTGTTTTGTCTCATGAGCACCTGGAGCGTGAGTCGTGAGTTTTGTCTCCCCACCCACGGCTGGCACATTACATTAGTCCGCATAAGCTTCCATTTAATTTCTATCTGTAGTCTGTAGGCATCTACGTTTACAGTGGGTTGGACAGCGGAATGGACAAAAATAGTTTTAAATCAATCAGTTGTACTTGATGTCTCAAGCATAGTTACACAAGAGTGTAACCTGCAGTTGCTTCCAGGATGGAGCCATTGTAACAGTTTTCCCCAAAACTACAGGGATTAAGGAGAGGTGAGTGGTGCCTGCTTTGTACCACTAGCTCTGGAATCTCCTCTTCCAACAACAGCTCATGTAAACACTCATTAGGACAGCAATTATTCTCTCCCCTAAATGCACTGGTGCCAGGTAACCTCATAGCTGCCTACACTCTGATGGTGAAGGTACTTTCCTACCATGAAGGAAATAAGATTTTAAGCCTGCTTCATACAGGAACTGAGACAAAATTAGCTTTCCACGTTTGGCAGCTGGCATCATGTGAGGAAGCTGCATCTCCCAGCACTGTAGATCTCACTGCAGCTAATTTGGGGCTAAGGTTTTTTCTCTAAGGTGGCAGAACAGTACTCTTACCTTGGATATTCAATCAAATAATCGCTGCATTTAGCCATTACAAAAATGGTTTTGACAGACTACTGATGAAATCTAATGAACTGTTTTCAAACTTTCCAGCAAGGAAGCCTTACACAGACGAAAAAGAAACATAAAAAGAAAAATTCTTCTGAATTTGTGAAAAAAATACACAGTGCAAGTATCTGCAAAATTCCTACTCACCTCTCTAAAGTCTGAAGTGCTTTCTTGTTTAATTCATCCTGAGTGCTCTTTAGAGTAGCTGTAGGACAAGATACCATGCCATATAAGAGTTCATTCAATGTTTCAGATTAAAAAAAATAAATGTATAGAGTATTTCAAATTTGGAGTGTAAATACTGTGGAAATCTGTGTGTGAAATGTGCATGTGCTCATTTTGAGCATTTGAATTCTCAAGTTCATTTTTATTAAAGATTATTTTAAGTCCTTTGTTTGAAATACTGAAGCATTTTTTTATTTACATATGCCACTGAAGGGGGCTGGGAGAAGGGGCCAAACACTAACTAGATATTACATACCAAGAAGGTAACAGGCCCTCAGCCAGGCTGCTGCAAATGCTAAAAGCAGTAACCTGCCACACATTCTGACTCAGATACAGACAGCCCCCACCACCATCTTCATGTTGGAAGGTGCTGCAGGTTGAACACGGAACACCGGCAGCTGAACTCACAGCTCTGTGACAAAACAATACCATCTTGGAGACCACAACAGAATTTTTAGGTTACTTCAGATGTGGCATTAGCCACTAATGCCCTTCTTCCATGCCTCTAATGGCTTGACTAAAGGATCCCGCTCAGTATGCACACATATCAATGTATAAATTAATTCCTACCTAAAACCAGAAAAGGAAGAGAAGAATTAATCTCTTGTTATACTTGGGTATCATAAGATATCATCATCAAGATCAACAGGAACATAATAAGAGCTTAAAGGAACATGTCTTTCTCAGATCCAAAATATCTGGAAACCTAATGATGGTTTTTAGAAATGGATCGGCTATCTAGTTCTGGTTCTTAGGTTTTCGGATTTTGCACAGCAGCAGTTTCTTGTTCTGCATATCCTGAAATTGAGAGCTATTGACCAACAGCATAAGGAAGTGATGATGAGCAGTTAATCCATCAGCAAACATAACCCATGAACATATCTGATTTGATACATCAAGTCAGTGTATGCTCCAAAATAGAAAGTTACTAAGTAGCATATAATAATGCAGCAAATCCAGTGAAATTCAAGTATTTTAATACTTAAATATACTTTTATACTTAAAGGGGGTTTTTAAGAAAGACAGAGAGTTATTTTTTTACCAGGTCCTACAGTGATAGGACCAGGAGTAATGGTTTTAAACCAGTAGTTTTAAACTACTTCAATGAGACTTACTTCAAGAAACATGTAATTAAACATTAAGAATAAGGAAGCTACCCAGCGTAAGTTTCTGGAAGTATTACTTCGTACAGGAGCTTTTTTCAAATCACAAAGAAAAGGCTTTAATACAACTCCTCAGTGCCTTTGTTACACAGGAGGAGAAATAATTACTGAAAGGTTATATTAAATAAGAGAGCCTAACTTGGATGGAAGGCGGTAAGCTTTAGAAGGCAATTGGTCAAATATCTCTGAAACACTTAGCTATCATTGAAAATACTGATTAACTGAAAGTCATCTCAACTGGAAAGTTACAGGAATCCCACATATACACACAGATAGATGTATGACTTGTCTGCATATGTTGCCTCAGATGAGGCGTAGCGACCCGGCTCGTGAGTGACACGATGGCTAACTTACAGGCCTGTCGGGCTAATCACACGCAAACACCAATGTGGTGGACGGTGAAGAGCATTTATTTCCGGTGTGCAAGGTTTTATATGACCAAGTTATGATTATGTCATCACCGTGATATTATGGGTTATAGAACTTTGGAGAAAGAGGGGCCCTATCTTCCCGTACAACGCAATATCTTCCGATCGGCTTTCCCTATCTAACCACTTTGTAACTGAATGACTTATGTAATTAACAACAGACTGTGAACTGGTTAGTAATGAACATTAAACGTAACCGCGGTGTGTTAGTACGAACTATCATGCAAACTCAGGTTAACTGTCTCTGTTCTAAATATAAAATGTCAATCTTATCTAAACGGGTTTTTATAAACTGGGCTAACTTATTAAGGAGACAAGGAACAAAAATAAGTACGAACACAACAACAATAACTGGTCCTGCTAACGTGGAAATAAGGGTAATAATCCAGGGGGATTGGCTGAACATCGAATTAAACCAGTTCTGTTGAGAGCATTGTTGGCTACACTGTTCAAGTCTTTGCTGTCGCTCTGTTGAAACTCGGGATCAAACCAGGGACCTTTAGATCTTCAATCTAATGCTCTCCCAACTGAGCTATTTCGGCTGCCTAATGACACTGGGATAACACATCTAAGTTACACATCAATTATTATCTCACAGACTACTATTTAAAGTTGACTGAAATCAACTGAGGATGGAATGACAAGACCTCAGTTCAGTTAGCACTACATATAAAGAAGCAAGGTGTTACTTTTGCAGGGCTTGTGAGAAAGCACTGGAAGTGTTTACAGATAAATTTATGCTGAATTATATACTTTATAACTACATTGATGTGTGACAAAATGGTTGATCATGGAATCCAATTACAACTGTTCTATATTTTTTCATTAGATAACCAAACAACTAAAATACAAAATTAAACTAAGTATTGAATGTAGTGGCCTAATTTTACAATTTAAATACATCAATCAAATAAACTTTACAAATAAACAAAAATATTTCAGGAGAAGCTAATTATTTTCTTTTAGAAATTATATGATGAAGCATTAATGATACTTCTCTAAAAATGCTTTACAGCATCTAAGACATTGCTCGTAAACAGTTTCAAAGTCCTTTTCATTCCCATAGTATGGATCTTCAATAATAAGCTGTTTCTGAGGATCCTAAGTTCCAAGTAGCTCAATTTTGGCCTTGCAGTCTTTAACTTGGTTACTTTTCCTGTTCAAATCTCTTAGATTGCTCTCATCCATACAAAGTACATGATCAAAGGTCTGGAAATCCTCTTTAGCAATCTGCCTGGCAATATGGTTCGTGGTAATGCCATGCTTCTTCATACAATTCTGTCCTCAATAGTCAGGAGGGCTTCCTATTTCATAGGCAGATGTTGCTGCACTGTCTATCCTCCACTTACGTTCAAGTTTCTCATCAGTTACGAGTTTTCTGAAAACTGCTTCAGCTATTGGAGAGTGACAGATGTTTCCCAGGCACATGAACAGCACTGACTTCGACTCTCCTGCCGCCATCTTCGCTCCAAGGACCTCACTCCCCTCCCCGGCACCATTTCGCGGCACGTATGGCGAGGGCCTTTCTCTGACATCTCCAGGGCCCGTGGTGTCAGGCGCGCCCCGCAGCTCCGTGGCATCGGTATCCCCCGGTGGCAGATTATGTTCCGCAGCCAAACCCGCGTTAGGGCCAGGCAGGCAGGATGGCGACTCGGGTTGGCCGTCATCATTGGATGGCCAGTTAGAATCAGTGGGGCAATCAATAAATGTGGTCTGAGTAGCAGCTCCAACCCCCACCCGTGGTGTAACGTTTAAACAGCTTTGCGCTGCCTACCAAATTTCCTGCTCTTGAAGTGGTTTTCGCAGCGCTTGCATAACTCTTGCCCAGCTTTTAAGGCACTTGCTGGACTTAAAGCACAACACGTCATCCGTGAGTGCCTTAGTACACCTAACCCAGCAATCTGGGTGTAATATATCTAAGGGATCATCAATAACACATAATTCTAGTAATCTGGCAACCGCACATTCGAAGTCCCTTGATTCGCAGTCAATACCCCACTGCTTATGCAGCTGTGAAACTACCTTGCCGAGCGACTGCATCACGGCAGTACGGGAGTGTCCTGCCCGCTGAAGTCGGTCCTGCCGCTCCAGCTGTCCCTCAGCGTCCGACGAGACTCCTGAAATCCAGCCGCTTGTACCCGCGTGTCGGGGAGCAGTCCCGGGTTTCGGCACCTCAGATTGAGGCGTAGCGACCCGGCTCGTGAGTGACACGACGGCTAGACCTACAGGCCTGTCAGGCTAATCACACGCGAACACCAATGTGGTGGACGGTGAAGAGCGTTTATTTCCAGTGTGCAAGGTTTTATATGACCGAGTTATGATTATGTCATCATCGTGATATTATGGGTTATAGAACTTTGGAGAAAGAGGGGCCCTATCTTCCCGTACAATGCGAGATCTTCTGATCGGCTTTCCCTATCTAACCACATCAGCACATGTCAGTAAGAACTGGTATAAATACAATGATAAACAAGATTGACAACATGAGGCAGGATTACATCACAGAAATGCTGTCTTTCAGCATGTTCTAGCTTTGCTTCCTCACTGTCATATGCTATTTTTAACAATGCTAATGAAAAATGTCTTGCTAATGCAAATTTAACATTTTCCATGAAAACACAGTTCCATATTCATGACCATCATATGTGTGCTTTTGAAGGACTTAATCAATTTTATTAAAATATAGTCTGCAAGATGAAAATATCCTCTTCCTATTTCCCTGAAATAACTGAGTGACTTGTCCTGTTGCCTTAAGAGCTAGAGATACAATGAGAAGGCAGATATATTCCACTGCTTCAAAACATAAATCAGAGGCTAATCTGAAGACAATCCAAGGCAGTAGTTGTGAAGACTGCTTGTTTTACATTAAAAAGGACACAATATTGAACTCATCTCTTGAAAATTCAAGAGATTTCCAGAAGTGTTTTCAACTCACATTTTGCTGCACCAAAATATCTTTAGAGACAGAGTACAGAACATGCCTTTCCTACTCCATTTCCACTTCTTTACATACTGAAGTTTACAAAGAGATTGTAAGGGGCTAACATAGAAAACCTTCTATCTCTGAAAATTGTCTCTGGGATCTTGTATTGCTTTAGAACAGTTTAAACTATGTCTAGGCAAAATTCCTTTAAAACTAGGCTGTTAAGCAGAACTCTATCCCCAGTGGACTTAAAATATATTATATATATATTTATATAGATAGATAGATAGATATAAGAAAATTCAGGCTAGGAAGGACATAATTTTTGACATGAACTTTCTAGGAACAACTACTCTGTGGCAGAGAAATGGAGAACAGGAGAAAGCTGCAGTGCCTGTTAGCCTCCACAGTGAAAAGCAGTTCTCAGAATGGCTGATCAGATACGGCTGGCTGAAAATCTACACCAACTTGTGCTACTGAAGAGCACAAGAACACTTTCTCATACAGATGCCTTGCAGAATTCTGGTGTAAGTTTCAAGGCCTGCATATTCCATGACAACATAATAGAGCAATTTTAGCTTTGATTCAGACTTCTTTGCTGGAGGAAGTTGGTTTGTTTCTATGGAACCTATCGAACAGAAAAGCCATTGTTTGCATGAGGGCAGGACTGCCAAAATTATTAGGAAACACACCAGCTCAGCCATTATCCAAAGAAAATGTGTTAGAAGTCTTCTACCTATGTTAGAACCCATAGAATAAACAAAGATTGTTCCCACCTGTGAGCTTGATGAAGGTCAGAGCTAGAACTCTCCCAAATACTTCAAGCTCTTCTGACTACGAAGCACCAAATCTGCAGGAACCCCTTGTCCATTCATTCAAGATCCAAGTAAACGGATTAAAATAATACACTTCTTACATTCAGTGGCCTGTTTCTAGTCAACATCCACATGTACCATTGAGGTAGATATTTTTATCTTGTTTACTTCTAAGTAAAATAAACGACATCACAGAAAGGTTGAATCTCTGTGGGGTATCAGTATCACACCAGGAACTGAAGTGAGGCATTTCTGACTCCAGTTCTTGAATTGTATTTCTTTGATTTATGAGTGGGTGACAAAAATATGAAAACAGATGGAAAGTCTGACGTTTTGTTGTGTAAATTAAGCAAAAAAAAATGTATTACAAATACTCAAGTAAAGCACACCAAGCATTCTCAGCTACGCTCAGATTATCCCCCCCCCAGTACTGACCTGCATTTCTTCCTTTGCCTAAAAATTTCACTTTTATTTTACCACAGAAGATAGTTCTCTGAGCAAGTGAACAGTTCCCATTTATCTTGCAATCTGATTGTTTTTCATATCTAATCAGCACTGCAAGCAGATTTTCTAATAAATTCCCATTGTTTGCACTGAAGACTTTGAACAAATGCTCTCCATATAACACACTTGACAAAAAAGTAACTCACCATCAGTAGCTTGAAGGCTGTATGTCAGGCCCAGTGCCAGGTAACCCTTTGCTAGGGACTCCCCAGCATCCTCACCCAGGTCTATCACCATTTTAGCAAAGTGCTCTCCTTCTTCCAGCTGCAAAAGAGGTAGGATGAGACTTACAGGCATTTCCTCTATACTTGCTCCAATAAAATTTACCATTAAGCTTGCAATTACCATTAAGCTAGCATTACCATCACACCTGCAAGTGATCTGAGAGCCATTCACACAAGGGCTTTCAGTGATCCCAGTGAACACTCATAACAGGAGAAGGTCAGATTAGCAGACCTTGGTGCACATGCACAGTTTTGAGAAAAGTTTGGGTTTTGCACCCCAAACTCTTTCCAGATGTTTAAGATTAATCAAGGACACTATCTTATTTTATAGTTCCCTTCAGGCACACTTCACTCATGCAGCCTTAAATGCAAATGCTGGATCAGCTGGACTACTTATATGCTATCCTACTAGAGTACTGAAAGGTCTAACAGGTTTTCTCCTTCAAAGGAAGATCATTCAGTTCTGCTATTAAGCCTTAGCAAATTTTACTCTCTTTTAAAACATTACAAGAGTAAAATAAGAAACCACTAACTTCACTGAAAGCTCTCAGCTGCTGCTTGCCCTTCTTCTGCCACAAGGATGCAGAAATTTCAGAACACAAGTTTTGATCTAACACGCTACCTTGGCACTAGCCACTTTCTGCATCTTTTGCAGACAAAATTTCCTTGAAAATGTGTTTTATATTATAGATAAATATTTTTTTATATTATATATTTTTTATTTTTATATTATAGATAAATAGTATAGCAATTGGAGGAGAAAGCAGTCAATCTCTCAGGATCAGCCTCAAAAATGATGAAATATGTAAGCTGGTCTCTTCTACTGCATCACAGACTGCTCACCACAGCCTTCCTTTCAACACATATCTATCAGCATTTGTAATGGTAATTTAAACAATATGGTAATAGTAATTTAAACAAAAAGAATAAGTTAAATATTTTATTACAGAATGGAATGTTTCTCATTTCAAATTTAAACTCTCATTAACATCACTCACCCATTTTAAGTATAAAAAAAGTTTAAGTAGAAAAAAGACCTGTATACTGTATATACTTTGAAAGGTGTAGGTTGGAGACATTGGCAAAACTTATAAGTAATGCCTGAAAGACAGAGCCTACAGGAAGATCTAATTTCTGTACAAGACAGTATTGCAGATCCTGTCATCCATAATCAGTCATCCCTAATCAAGGAGCAGATACCATTACACTACGACAAATCCTCCTTTTGGAAACTTTTATGACATCACAACTGGGATGGGGCTAACTTTGAGAAAGTATTTTTTACATTTGAAATCCAGGTAGTTTAGACACAAATAATGTGGACGTGTGCCCTCTTAATACTCAGCTTTGTCAGACTTCAGCACCTCATGGCTCCTTAACATCTAAAATGACTCACCCACAACAATGTGAAATTAAAATGCATCATCAGACAAGAAATTTGCCTTCTGCAATAATCTGTTAATATGTTACCTATGAACAGAATCTACTTGACTTGATGTAGCATCTTGTCAATGTGCCTCCTGGTCACATCATTTGAAAATATTCAGATGACATTAACTAATGGCTTCATAAAAAAACAACCTGGCATTTATTAGACTGTATCAAGCCTAAGAAGAAAAATACTTTAACCATAATTCTGAAGAAAGGCTGAAAAACGCAAGTGAATAAACAAATCTCTACTGCTTGGATTTCTTCCTCACTGTCACAACGCCCTGAGGCCATAGAATTCAAACTAGAGGTAGAACAATTTTGCATCAATTTCTGAAACCTCAGATCAGTCAGTCCAATGACCAACACATAAGTTACCATCAAACCCTTTCCTGAAAGCACTATGAAAGCATTAGTGTTGCTCATTGACCTGACAGCTGTGAATGGGGAAGCCACTGACACAGGAACACCTCCTGCAGAATACTTGGACTTGTGAACTAAACTGCAAGGCCTGTCTCTGAGGGTATAATCCAAAGCCTTCCAAAACCACTGGAGATAGTCGCATGTATTTCAGTAATGTTCAGATAACACCCTTAAACTCTGATAACATCAGGAAGACTGAGATTTGTTTCAGATTTCTTAACTTGTCAGTAGCACTACCAACTTCCCTGTCATATACTCAAGTGTGTTCTGGACCAGACCATAGAACAATGGCAGAAGTGGCCCATGACTTGCCACATAGCAAAAAAAACCAACACAAAACCCCCACAAATGAACACAAAAACCCCTCCTATACAACTATAACTGAATTCTTCATCTCTGAGAAACTTTTATGTATGACATGAAATCTCTGCAGCATGAGAATTCATTATGCATCTCTTTGACACCATAAACAGCTATATTCCTACTGTTTCTTCAGTCCTTCTCCTCTCCACACACACTTTCATCCCAGAAGTCTCCATTAGATGAAGAAAAGAGCTATACAAGGAATTCTAATGACTAGAGAATGACTAGTGGGGGTGGGTAGGGTGTATGGAAACAAAATTCAATGAAAAGTTTGAAGCTGAAAGGAAGACATGTAAAATTGGAGAGATTTTGTTCCATTTTTTCTCTGAATGGTCACCAGATGCTAATTTCATTTTTTTTCCAGTCTTGGACTGGAAAAACCTATACTGCATAAAAATCAGTAGTGCACCATTCAGCCTTCCTGCCAGTTACCCAGGGCCACTTGTCAGTATCAGATTAATCTAATGAATAAATAATTAAAACCATAACTTTTCAGACTGGCTGAAACAGGACTTCTAGCACACTCTTGTAAACATTTATTCATACTAAACACCAATGGCACTTTGACCAGCCACAAAGATTTTTATGAATGCAAACTTGGGTCAGCTGAAGTCTGCTTCGAAAATAAGTGGCCTCACAAACTCCAGCACAGCTGGTTCTGTTCATGAGAACATTTACTTTTCCTTCTTACAGCACTCAGAACCTCCCCTGCCAGCCCTACCGTGGCAACTATCTGTCCCCTCTTCTCCCATTCTCCTACTCTTCAGTTATTCTGGGCAAGTGTGAAAAGCCAAATCTTTCACTCACATCACCCATTGTCAAGTTTCAACTCTCTAGTGCATTAGTCTTGCAGATGGCCTAACCAGCTGTGAATCTGGAAAGTACTACCTGAAATAGGAATAACCCCTTTGGGCACAATTGGGGTAACCAAATAAACTGCAAGGACTACTGGATTGCAGTCTGGATAAAAGCTCCCTCTCCATCCAAGTGAGAGACCAGTAGTGAGCCTGAGTTGTGATCTGCCAGTAAAGCTGTGTCTCTGGAGTCCTTAAGGATATGGGCTGTCTCCAGTCTGTATTGTGGAGGTGAGAAAGGAAGGAGGGAAGGCCTACCATGTTATTCTCATAGAAGCAACAAAAACAAAGTCTCAAAGCCATCCCTCCAATCTGGCCCTTACTGTTCTAATATTTTTTCTACATACTTAGCACTAAAAAGCTGGTGGAGAGAAGGACAGCATTCCAGGTTGCAGGGAAAAAGTTCCCTGCATCCAAGACCTGCACAGAAGAAAGGAAGCATGGGAGGAGAACAACCTCAGAAGAACTTTCTGCATTTTGAACTCCTGCTATATAAAGTGTCAGGAGGCACCCGGAACCACTAGCTAAGCAATCCCTCTATCATACCAGAAAGCAAACACCTGGCACCTGGAGAGAGACAGACTGCCAAACTGTGAACTGACACCAATGAGATGGTAATACCCTGGGGTTGGTTGGGGTTTTTTCCCCTCTTTCACTTCCTCCTTCATAGTTGCTAGAAAAAGAACAGTTGCTTGCTGTGCTATCCTGAGGGATGTTTCCCCTGGTACAGAGTGGCTGTTCCAGCCACCACTGTTATTTGGCCACAAGTTCTAGTGTGTGTCAAGCCAAGCCTAGAGGCAAAATGACAAGGGAATGGAGAACAGCAGGTGTTGTCCCCGGCCTAAGGCCACCCAGCTGGTGTCCAACTGCCACCCAGATTGTTTTTAGAAAAGCTCAAGCCCTACCCCACTGAATCAACAGCTTGCAGGACTAAGTAGGAATTCCTCTTCTCACCAGCACACATTTAGAGTAACTAAGGACAAACAAGTTAATGATGTACAGCAAGATGAAAACAGCACTTTATTATGTCAAAAAAGAGGAGCATACCAAGGAAGAGGAATTAAATACATCAGGTGACACTGGTCTTGGGAAAACAGACAAAGTTAATGAAGCAGGTGAATTTGGACACCAGTGACACTGAACAATACGTAAGCACTTAAGAGATCAACATCCTAAAGAATAGGTATTTATACAAAATTACACAATGCTTACTAGTTGGATCGACCACTTACCTCTTTCTTTACACTAGGTTGTAGCTATAGAGACTAATTCAAATAGAAGAATATAAATATTGTGAAATGAGAATGGTAAGAAGAAAATTGCATAGGAAGAAAGCGGTCTATAAGGTATAGTCTAATGAAAACGTTTTATCCTACATGTGTTTACAGCATACAAAGCAAATCATGTTATGTATGTCAGAAAAAAAAAATCCTGTGCTTTCTATTGCTGTTCTAGTCAGCATTTGCTCTCTGTGTCACCACTGTTAAGCCTACCAATTTAGTCTGTGTAAATTCAGCCCCCAGCACGTAAGGAAACCCAGGCCTCCACTGAAGCTAGAGTGGTTTGTTCGCAAAGGTGATGTACAGCAGACAAAATTCTTGTTAATTTTTAATATCTAATGTCTAAAACTCATGGGATTGCTCCAGAACAGCAGTGGTGATGTAATCAAGAATATCTTTTATAAAAGACAGAAAAAATACTTAGTAGCTCTTTGCTCTTCCCTTTCTCAGCAGCCTCTCACTCTGGTGATGCTGATCCTCTCAGACGTCCATCAGCAGGCAGAGTAACACCAGTAATGGGATTAGATTTTATCTTTTAATATTATTCATAAAGCACTATGACTTAAGCATTTCCAGGTGACTCCAGGGCTCCTAAGTGCCTGGGTACAAGCACATGTACAGAATTTATTATCTGTAGTGGCAGGGTCAACAACAGACAGAAGGGGAGAGAAGCACTCTCTGATTAAGTGGTCTGTGAAAGTAATGTATGGTAAGCTGTTGCCTCAGAAGTATGTAGCTCTAAATCTACATCATGCCAACCCCAATGATACACACACACCATGATGTCCTGACCTCATGGTATGTCTTACACAGTTTTTATGACTCCATGCACAGTCTGCCCTGGCCCAACACCACTTCTTTTCCCTTTCCGTGACTGATGGCATGATCACTGTCTTCCCAGTAAAGTGCTGCAGCAGAGGACTTTGCTGTGCACAGTAGTTCAAATAAGGGAAATGTCTAAGGTACAGCACCATCCTGTGTTGCAGCTTTTGCCATGGGACAAAGTCTATTGAAAAGCTTGTATTAGATAATACTGGCATCATTTGATGCTACACAAATTTAGCACACCACCACTATTGCTATTATATAAACTGTGGAGCAATGAAAATGATAACAACATGCCTCATGTCTTCCTGCTTTTTGTCAGAGCACAGCTCTAGAAGACTCAAGCCTATCCTAGGAGTACAGTCCATTTTACTCAATGTGTATTCACAATATTTTCAACTGCCTCCATTGAAATCAGTGGAGTAAAAGGCCAAAGAAAGCATCAGGGTAACCCTAAATGCCTCAAACAAATGCTCCTAAAAATCAAGAAATTCAGGATTTAATACCTGTCTGTAGGAAGAAGTTCCATTTTTAGTATTTTCACCTGCCATAACAGGATCCTGGAGAACCTAGATTAGTAATGAAATTAACAGTACTATACTACTAAAATATTAAAAACAACAACTCATACTGCAACTCAAAATCACTGCCAAAGTAGGCAAGTGAGCATTCAGCTGAGATCATGCAAGGGAAGGCTGAGTGGAAGAGGAAATTACAGCAAGCCTTTTAGTGAGAAGAACTCTGAATTTATAGCGGAGCAAGGCAAAGCAACCTCAGTATGGACATATTCCAGTGCAAGCTACCTCAACTCTTCTATGGAAATTTAAAACAATACTCTGAACTACAATAGTCAAAGACTTCAAAGTACCTTCTGGAAAGCTGAAAGACAGCTGGCTAAACACAAATGAGCTTTGTGTTTGCTTGGTAGAATCATTTACATGCAAGTTCAGCAAACCGTTGCACTGAAACCCCAGTAAGCTGAAAGGCTTAGCAGCACATTGCCTCAAAAGTAATTCTGTGCCTACTACAAAAAACATTTAAAACACCTGTGTAATGGTTTAGATACAATATAAAAGTTCCAACTTTGCTGTACAGGTCTGACTGCATCCTGACCATACAAATGTGTTTTACATATGTGCATTAGTTTTGAAGCTTTTCTGGTCCTCCAAGTCTACTTGTTTAAGCTTTAGAATTAATGAAGTATTGATTTCTTGTTTACACTGGATTTTTTTTTATTTTTGTTTTTAAAAACCTCCAACTCTGAAAAAGGTAGCCAAATCACTGCTTATACCACTCAGTTGTTTACTGCAGGCCCAATCCTAAAAGCTGGTGGTTAATGGGGCAGATCATCCCGTGATGTAAGCCAGCTAGGTACCCCTAACATGCCAGTGGAGTACTGCCAACTTACATCAGTTAATGATCTGGTCATACTGCCACAACATAAGCTGGGGGAGGCTCCGTTCTTTTCTGCATCAGGCTCTGTTATATATTGATTTACATGGCACTGTATGAATGTATCCATGTTTTCACTTTGATTTGTTCTGCACTGAGAGATTATTTCATAAATGCGATCAGAGCATCCTCAATGTTGTAAATCATTATAGTACATTTCAATTAATTTTCTGTTTTCCCTGCTCCTAAAGCGTGCTGAGACATCATGTAGAAAGTCACCAAAATGAGTTAAGCGATCACTAGATTAATCATGAAAGAAACTGTTCTGTGCTTCTAATGACATTCTGTAATTATCTATATGCATAAATGTTGTGGTTTTTTAATTTTTTTATTTTCTAGTTTTGTTTTTTTTTTATTGTTAGTAACTGAAAGAAGACCAAAGTACTGCTTGCTCATGGGCTATAAACAAACTAGCTACAATACTGCACCACACAATAGACAGATGCAGAACATAAATTAGCTGTGTCATTTGGATAAATGGTGATCTGATTTCACCCTTTTCCTGCCTAGCCACCAATCAAGTACACAGATATATTTCCTAATTGGAAAATTAACAATATTTTTTTATGTTCTGAAAAGGAAAATGTATTTGAGTATTTGTAACTGCTAATATTTGTCCATTAAACTGTTCCTGTCCCATGTGTATCCTCCTTTCTATTTATACTGGCATTGATCAGCCTGTTCACTTCCAGTTTAAATTATTAATATTAAATTAAATTATATATGATTGCCATGTAATTTAAATACAAATAATTACTGTAAGGATGACATTTAGAAAAATAGCTCTGCTGAGCAGGAAAGTCTTTATTAGGCACAGAAGTCTGCCAGTAATATCAGAAGCAACCCTTTCACTAACAGATGTGGGAACCTATCATTTCAGTTCTTTTAAAAGACGATTTAAAGTCCTTTAAAAGATGAAATAATTTTCCCTTTAATTAAAACTCTTCTATACCATCACCAAGTTTGCTGTGAGGGTAAAGCATAGGCCATTGACTGAAAGGAAAGGGAGAAGGAATATTTTTTATTTGGTTTTCGTTCATAAGTTATCTGTGCTCTAGATAACTGCACTAAAATTACACTCTTGTGAAATCATGATTTTACCACATAATAGCCTCCAGTTCTGAGCCAGGGTCTAATTGAATAACACTGAAAAGCATTTCACACAATAAAAATGCAGTACATTTATGTTGGGGGTTAGGTATCCTTCTTTTAGTTCTGGCTCACCTGTGGAAATTTTACCCTTTAGTTGCAGGGGGCGGGGGAGAACTTCACTGCAGGTACTTGGTGGGTACTTGAGAAACACATCGAGTTCGGCTGAGCCCAGGGGGAAAGGGGGCAGGAAAAGGCGGAGGGCGGGGACAGTTTGGCAGGCTTCTTCAGCTTCAGAGAAGGACACTTTGGGGCGCAGAGCTGTTGCTGAGAAGGGAATTCACCATCACCCAGACAGAGATGCTGCTTCGTCTCCTTCTTCCCTCTTCATTGTTGGCCTCGCACCCCCTGTCCTGCCGGGACGTGTGGCAGTGCCAGCCACCACTGAGGAGCTGCTGGCTGATCCTCAGCCACCGGCCCAGGATCTCAGCTCATCCCTGCTGTTCCAGCTGACTGTTCTTCAGAGCCCTGCAGGAGCACCGGGACTGCCTGCCCGAGGGGGTTTGTGAAGCAAAACCTCTCCTCCATCCCTTCCCGTCTTGGCCAAGAAAGCTGTCACGGGGTCCCTGGTTCTGTTCTGTTGTTAACGCTGTAGTTATTGTTGTTTGTTTGCCTTGTTATATACACTAGTAAAGAACTGTTATTCCTATCCCCTGATCTCTGCCTGAGAGCCCCTTGATTTCAAAATTATAGTAATTCAGAGGGAGAGGGTCTACATTTTCATTCCAGGGGAGGCTCCTGCCCACCCTAGCAGACACCTGTCTTCTAAAACCGAGAAAATTGAAGAAAAAACCCTCATTTTGAAATAATCAAAACCAGCTCATTTTTGGCTTCTATAACTTTTCACCAAGATCCATGCAGATTCTTCTGGTACTTTCTTTCATGTTTCCTTGCATCTGTGTTTTACTTCTATTTAGCAATTATAATCCTTCACTGACTGCAGGGACACCTCGTGGTGAAGGCAGGTGAGAACAGCAGGCTGCCGTTCAGTTAATTAAACCAAGCAGAGAAAGAGTGACATATGCTTCTGGCTCCTTTAGATAATCAGAATTTCATGGGCACCAGCTTCCACTCCCACCCTGCTTCTGAGGTGTACATTAACACGTCCAGAACACAAAACACTGGCACAGCAACTTCAAGAACAGAGGACTGAGTTGTCCAGCAGACCTGAACTATCTAACCACTTAAAACTATTAACTTGTGTCTTCCAGGGAATACGAAAATGGCTGATTCAATGTGACACTCAGTTGAAGCAGCAGTCCTCAGAACAGCTGTTGTGGCTTTCCCCCCTCCTCCTTTCTTCAATGTGCTAGCAAAATACATTTTAATGACTCACTGCAAAATTTCTTGCAGGGATTTTCATTTTTTATAAAAGGCATACATGTCTGTATGATTTTCAGCAGGGATTCCCTTTCTCCCCACTGCAACTACACTGTGGCAGGCACTGTCACTGCAGCATCTAATCCATTACATAATAAGAATTTCATCAGCTTGCTTACCCAGTGCAGTGACCCAATGCAGACCTTGGCAGCCAGAAGAGGAACAGTGGGATCTGTAGGTCGCAGTTTAGCACATTCTTTGAGCACCGACACAGCATACGCTGACTGGAGGAGTAGGAGAGAGGAGAAGGACATTAGAAAGACTGATTAGACAAAGCTGTTGAGAGGCCATACAAAATATTGCAGTGACATGTACACAGAAGTGCCATGGAGAAAAGAATCCCATATCAGCAACAAGTCAGCAACTTTATCCCCACCTCCACATGCATACCTGTGTGTACACACACGCACACAAGCACTTTCTTCCCACGCTCAGAGGAAACACGCCAAAGAGGCAGCCCTGGCTATGCACTTCACAAGAAACAGTTTTCTTAGGTATCAATGCACTGTTTTTTTTAACTCTGCCCTCCCAGTACACAAGAATTCTGCTGTAGTTTTCCTTGAATATTATCATCTTCCAGGAAACCAGAAGAGATCATAAAGAGCTTATCCTCCAGTACATTCACATTTTAGGCCAACTTCACACAGAGAGGTTTGTTCAGCTGAAGTAATCTGCTCAGTAGATTGTTTTGTGTCTTCTCTAGTTCCAGAACATACAAGAAAGCAACTGTGACCCCACCATACAAAGGGTGGATGCAGATCAATACTGTTCAGTGGATGGTCCAAACATGTGTTAGAAAGAAAGCCCATAAAACTCTTGCTGTCTTTCTGGTGTTAGGTTATCAATAATGAGGATTTTTTTAAGATTAGCATTTGCATAGCCTTTTTGATCCAATGTGCTCTGCAAACACTTCTGTTTTACAGCATACATTCACGGCTGCCACATTTCAGATGCCTTAAAGGGGAATGAAGAAAACTGGTCTGAGGCAGTGATGAGAAGGCCATGTCAGACAGTAAGATGGTGACAGGAGTTGTCCTACCAGAATCTCTCAGCCCATTCCACCTGAACCACAGTGTGGGATATGGGGTTATAATTGTTAAAGTTGCTAAGGCTTATGCTCAGCGGAAGGCCCTGTGGGAAGGCCCAGCTGCAGGCTGAATGGCTGGACGTCAGCTGTGGGGTGAGGCAGTCAGGAGCGAGGACAGAGGCGGCTGAGTGACAGCTGGAAGTGAGATTGTGATTGGCTGGAGGAATGTGCAAACAGCGTGTGAGCAGGAAGCTGATTGGGTGATAGGACACATGGACAGTGGCACTGCAACTGAGCCAGCCAATGGGTGCCCTTCTTCTGTTAACGTCTGCTTGACTTCGGTTTGGTTTCATTTATGTCTGGTGGAAATTAAAAGTATAAAAGGAGGCTGATTTCTGCAACAAAGGGATCTCCTTCACATGCATAAGGGGTTCCGTGAAACTTTGTTCTCCCACTGCTACACTACAGTTTGTCTTACATTTAAACCTTCCTCACTACTGATCCTGACTCACTCAAATTTCCTCATGCTTAAGCTCAAGAGGAAGTTTTATTCTCTTGGAATTTCTCCTTGCATGCCTGTTTCCTCACAAAGTCTTCCACACAGTCCCAAGGCATAATGTTCCTGCATAGAAGCACATTAAATAGTCATGGCCTTTCTATATTACAGAAGAGCAGCAACAGAAGCTGGTGAAGTCAAATGATCTGCAATTCTCATCGGGTACTGGGCATCTCCTCCTGACCCCCAGGGGGCTCTCCCTGCCAGAACTCTGACCCACATAGGGCAGACCCACACCAGGTCTGGTGACTGCTGCAATCCCCTGCAGCAACACAGCTTCACATTTCCCCTGACCATCAGCACTTTTCCTCCCTCACACCACATCAAAGTGAGCTGTGCCTGCCAGCTCTTTCCTCCACAGAACTAAAGGTCCACTTCTTAGTGGACCTTACTTAGCTTAATTAGGCATTTGCTTGGAAGGGAACCTGGAAAAATGGAAAACCAGATGTGCACCAGCCATGCCCACGTTACGGCAAAGAAGGGTTTCATAACTGATGCAGCAGGGAGCAAATCCTCCTGCTTGAAAAGCTTGGGTACCTGCCTTGGGGTCTGAACAAGAGCAGCAGTACACCCTATATTCTTCAGGTTGCTCCCACTCATGCAGCTCATCAGGCATGATCAGTATAAGAGAGGAAACATTTATTAATTTAAAATTCAAAACGCACTATTTGCCTAAAGCCAGAAGGAAGCTTGTTTCAGACCAAGGATGGAAATAAATAAACTTTGTCCTACAGCTTGAACCATTACTTCATCCCTCTCAGAAATAAAGATGTGTAATTTGACCCTGAGGCACAGGAAGAAATACACTGCTGTGCTCTGTTGCCGTAAGGTGACTAGCCCCCCTCAGAATGAACCTCCCTGACACCTCTTTGGTCAGAACAAGTGGTGTCTCGGGTTTTAGTGGCACCTTATTCCTCTCTCTTGCAAAATGCACTGAAAGCAGCTGGTATTCCCAGCAGCATGATGGATGTATTGGAAATCCAAGCATAACCCCATAAGGGATCTAGGCTGGGTATCATCTTCTTGCCCTCCTACCTATAACTCCAGCACCACAGGTGCTTCCAGAAAACAAATAAACGTGACAGCAGGACAATATGCACTGTGGCAGCCAGTATATCTTCAGCTGAACCCTACCGACCCATGTCACCTCATCATGCAAAACTGAACTACAAAGGCCAGATATGTAAAAGGCCATACACTGTCCAGAGCTAACGCTTGCATAACCAGACACAAGCTCAACCCAGTGGTCATTTCTCAGCTCCCCACCAGCACTGCAACTACAGGAAAAGCAGAAGGCACCTGGGAACTGGTGGCAGCTCTCCTGTGGGTAAGCAGAACCAGTACTAGCACAAACCAAAGCAGTGACAGGCCTGTCCTAATTTGGGCCACAGATGTAGAACCTACACCAGAAGAGAAGTGACAAAATCCACTCATTGCCAGTTCCTCTTGAATTCTGCTTCCTCCCAGTCTGCAGGACAAGCCAACACTACCCTCAAACTACAGAGACCTTGCCATGTCTGTCCTGTCCCAAGACTGTTCAGGAGGCCACTGCAAAGCAGTGACTACTGAATGCTGCACAGGACAAGGTCCTACATTGTACCTGCACTCAAACACTTCAGGTGTCAAATCACTTTGTTACATATGCACTCAAGAGCTTCTGAACATGGATTTACAGAGCAAAAGTCAGTTTCCACGCTGCTCCTAAAACATTTACAAAGTTATGTCATTTTAAAGCGGTTCATAAAATTTGCAACTAAACACATGGAGAAGTGGTTTTAGAAACAGGGTGACATGAAGCCTTTCTCCCCAGCTGCATTTTAAAAATTCAGGAGGTATTATATAATTTCACCTTGAAAAATTCACTCAGCAGATATTTTCTATAGATAATGAAAACATTAGTCAAGGAATGACAGGAGAAATAATATCCCACTCCCACAGTGACCTTACTTAGGGGAGACTGGCATGACATGTAATATCAAGGTTTCTTAAAGATACTAATTACAGACATTATGAGGCAGGGAAAAAATATCAAGCACTCATTATTGAATACAGATATCACTGGTTTGTAAAAATGTTTAATATGAAACAGTGTTTAGACAACACTGAAATAATCTGGTAATTAAAATGTACATATTCTTTCATTTAGTGTGGGTGGATCAGGCAGCAAAGCACATTGCTTGTGAAATTCACTGCAAGGCAATAATAATTTGATTTATTGGTGAGGCATGTTTTGAGAAGAACAGAAGTCAAATTCCAAGTGAGTACATGCATCCCACTCATGATTCTGCGCTTCAGAGGAGCTCACATAATAATTCAAGACAGGATTTATGCTGTTTCTATTTAACTTGCTAATTGCTGGATTATAATGCCTGCACTACAACCAGTTCCCAAGGACTTCAGAAAACTAGGTCTCATTTGGCCTCTCATCTAGGGCAAGGAATCACAAGGAAGCTATTGTGGAAGAAGAAGGATGGAGAGGACACCTTCCCCTATGTAATTATGGCAGCCATCGTTTTGAATCCTGTAAGGGAGTAAAATGCAAAGAAAAACAACTATCCGAACACAGAACACAACTCCCACTCCCCATTTACTAATTCAATAACGAAGCATGGAAGCATACTCCTCAAAGATTCCACATGAGCAGAAGAGAACCAAGAACATCATGCAGTTAATTTTCTTCATTTTCCAAATGGCTCGAGAGAATTTGCCATCAGTTATGGTAAACCCATAGATGCTGCCCAAATGCCACTTTTCCTAGATTACTCCAACACAATTTCCATTCTTTCTCTTCCTTTGCAATCTCACCATACCAAAGCAACCAAAGAAGCAAGTTAGAGAGTCACTTCATATTTAGAAGATAAAAGAAAACACATAAAAGATGTAAGTAAAAGGAAGAATAAATTCCAGACAGTAAATCACGCCTGATAGACTTTGACATGCCAGAACAGTTGCTCTTCTCCTGCACAGGTTCCAAAAACCTCCCCAGTTTTTTGCTTCTTTGCTACTTTTCAGCCAGAAGAAAAAATGTTCCTCAAGATGGTCAGTTGGTAGACAGCCTCATTCCCAAATTACCTGTCAGTTTAGTACACTAATGAATTTCCACAACTAGTGCTGCTGTATTTCTTACATCATCCTGTCTAAAAACTGCACTATTTCAAAGAGATTATGGGGAAGTGGAAGAATCCTTTCATTTCAACGCAAGAATTATTATTCCCTGTGTCCTGGGCTTCTAAATGACACGTTTAGATATAAATGACCTTGACATAGAAAGGTGACAGAATAAGGAAGCAATTGAAAGCTCTGGAATCAGTAGTTTTGCTGTTAGCTTTCCACCGAATTTAGAGATTTCTATGAATCTCAGCATGAACATTATTCCCCTACTGCATTTATTTCTCTGATTATCTCCCTTTTCTTTTACCTTTTGTTTATCAAACTAGAGCACTGGAGTTAAGCAGCTTCAAATACTCCCTCTTAAAAGCACCTCTTACATTCTAAGATCTGTAAGTACACATTTGTACTTGCTAATGTGACAAACACCTCACTTCACACTTTCTGTCAAGAAAAGAGAGTTAAGCCTGAAGGCAATTAGATAGCCTAGGTATTCTGCTCAACAGTCAGGCATCTTAGGAAATTTCCATTTT